GGCGAAGACTCTAAACAGAAAGAAGAATCAGGGGATGAAGAAGAGGACAAAAAAACCTCCTGGACGGGAGTTAAACACAGAAGGAAGGGTGGAGGTTGAGCAGGAATCACCTCGGAAGATGAGATCAGGGAGGGAGAAGAACCCCAAATCTCAGTAGAACAAAAGGGCTGTGCAGAATAGAAGCATTTAGTGTCAACAGATAACGACACTGGCTCATCCAAGATCCTATTGGCTGACTATGGTAGATGTGAGTGGAGGGGATGGAGTCGCGGGCTGCACCTCACGAGGAACGGAAGATCATTGGCATTATTGATTGGCCACCAGTGGTGTCATGAAGTACGACCTTTAGAGTGAGCGCCACGCACACCTGACCGGACCATTCTGTCTGCTAGAGGTTAGTTAGGGGAGGGAAGAGCCGAACTTAGAAAAAAAAAATTATGAAATGATTGAGTGATGAGTCGAGCGAGACTAAGTGATTGTGAAGAATAACAACAAGAGAATTTGTTACCTTTCAGGAATGATAGCTAGGTACAAGGTGGAAGCAGACTACATAGCATTAAATTCGGGGAGAACGAAATTCATGTTGCTATCAGCTGAAGAAGCTAGAAGGTGTAGAGATGATACCCTGGAGACTTGTACCTCGTTGAGCCCTATCTATAAAACTGGTAACAGCAGAATGTGCATATTAGAATTGTTTGAAGGGAAGGGGAAGGAATCAAAAGAATCTGCCAAGTAGAGGTATTAACAAACTCGGCATTACCACAAGCTATCAGTGTTTTCAGACGGGGTGTGGGCAGTAGCCACACAGAAACATATCAGCCTGTCTAGGGTATGTGGGGGAGAGTCCACAAGGACATTAAGAATAAGGCCACCGTTATCCCTGGTGACGCTACCCATGGATGTTCGGCGGTTGGGGTGTCCATCTCCTTGCCCCCCATTACCAGATGGAAGAAAGGTATGAAGAAAAGATTCACTCATAGAGATGATTGGTAGAGGCTTAGTCAATTGTACAGAATTATGGGAGCCGATAGTGAAGAGATTCTCTAATGTCACCTTAAATAAGATGCCAGTATTAATGAAGCCAATAGAAAAGATCGATATGGATCACTTAAGGGATAAGTTAAGTGCGTTGGGAGACGAAGGTGTAGCTTGGGAAGACGATGAGCAGATCGCGATAAGTTGGTCAATAGTGATGGGTACATTCCTAGTTATAGCCATCGGGGGTGTAATAATATGGAAGATTAAGAGTAAGAGAAGATTGGCGAACGACAGTCTAGTGAGCATGCAGCAACTCGAGAGGGAGATGCCGAGCAGTGTTCCTTACTCAGACAGGACTGGCGAAGAAATTGCTGAAAGACCAATGGAGGAGGCTGGCGGAGACCACCACGTGCGGCGGGAAAACCTCCCACGGCAGAGAGGAAAACATTGACCAAGAAGAACAGACCCTAGTGAACACATCTGCACCTACAAACACACGCACACATTACCTTGCATGTAAAACAAAAAGAAAATGAAAAGAACATTTCATTGCATGTAGAACAAAAAAGAAAAATGAAAAGAACATTTCATTGCATGTAGAACAGAAGAAAATGAAAAGAACATTTCATTGCATGTAGAACAAAAAGAAAATGAAAAGAAAAAGAACATTTCATAGCATGTAGAACAAAAAGAAAATGGAAAGAACATTACCCTTGCATGTTAGAAAGTAGAATAGAATTGCATGAGACAAATGCATGGTGCATGTTAAATGATGTAATTGGGTTTAGGTGTCATTTACGGGTAAATGACAAATCGGTTAGGGGAGGATTGTGGCACCTTGCATTATTAGAAATATTCATAGAAATATGATTTAATTTTTTTTTACTCGGTTTACTAAACAGGTTGTTGATTTTTTTTAAAACGGAAAATAATTGAGTTGAAAATAATTCACTAAGATTGTACTTAGACGATCCTAAGGAAAGAAGAAGGAAGGGGAAAGAGAGGAAAAGAGAAAAAGCAAAAGAGAGAGGTCGAGAAATACAAAAAGCGGTCATTAACAAAGACACGAGTCAGAAAGATATCTTAGCTAGCATGTTGACCGAATTTTTTTAAAGACAATTGGAAGAATAGAATTAGAAATAATAAAAAGAAAGAAAGGGAAAAGACATGATATCAAAACGGGCCGCTTGATGAAAACCAGATATCGGTCAAAGCATCTAGCCTACTTTTGCGTAGAAAGACATCTTATCAATTTGGATAAAGAGAAATTTTGGGAACAATGAAAACGAAATCTTAATCAGAGAAAAAGTGTCTTTTGGGTTGAGGGGAGGACCGGTGGAACGGTATACAGATTCTGACCTGTTAAAAATTAGAACCCCACATTGACGAGTGAAAGATGTTTTCAATTCAGATAAATTAAGATTTTCTGACTGCCGGGTCTGACAAAAAACAAGAGGTGAAAAAAAACGATTGTCTCAGATCACAGATGGCGACAATATTCTTTCCTGAAGTCACAACTAATTAGCGGCGGACTGGTTGACAGAGCCCAGGTGAGAGAAAGCCAAGATTGTCATTTTTCGTACGTGCAGAAAAGGCAAAATTGGATTTTGTTTTTTTAAAAACAAGAACGATGTAACCACGCCCGAAAGGAGGAGAAAGGATGCTCGATCAATAACAATTGGTCGGAAACGGTCACGTGATCTGCAGAAAAGAGGAGAAAGAAATGCCCGATCAGGAACCATTGGTCGAAAAACGGTCACCTGACATACGAGAGACTAAGAGAGATGGGTGCACCTCCCACAAAAGGCACTGTGAGGAAGTAGGGGTGAAAACAATAGCGATAATGGGAAGTCAAAAAATAATGCGACTTTTGGAATTATCGAGAAAACCCTGACGCCGACAGACCCACCCCAGTTTGTTGTGGCGTCAATAAAAGCAGGACCCCAGTCGACAGAAATCAAGTGGAGTTGAGAGTTGCAGCTGGACCGCGGGCAGGGATAGAGCCTGAACGCGGGCATCAGGCCCGATTCACTCGCCCCTTTGCGGGCAAAAAGAATCCTCAGACAAGAAATCCTTCCAGCCCAAGTCGAAGACAAGAGAAACTTCCAGCCCAAGTAGACGAAGAAGAAGAAGATTGCTCGAAGGACGCCAAGAGTTCAGCCCCGGACGGCAGCGAGAAGAGATCACCTCGGACGACAGAGAGTTGCGGCTGAGTTGCGGCAAGAGATCCTTCCAGCCCAAGTCGAAGACAAGAGAACTTCCAGCCCAAGTCGAAGACGACGAAGAAGAAGCCTAAGTCGACGAAGAAAAGAAATACAACTCAAGTCGAAGAAAGAATCAACTGCGAATGATCGATAGAAATTAGCCCCAGTGTCGAACCAAACCACACTCCGACATACACAATTCTAAAGAGTAGGCAATTCGAAAATCTTTAGGTTGTGTGATAGAAGCTTGGTGCCATAGTCCACAGAGCGGGTTGGGAAATGAGAACAATTTTGTTTTTATGTAACGGACATTAAGATATAAAAGGTTGTTACCCATTTTTTTCATCAGCAATCTTTTTGTCTCGTGAGTTTATTTTCTTTTTATTTGTGTTTTGCCACCCCGTCGGACTCAACTTGTATCGGCCCCAATCCCTGCTGGTCCCGTCTGTCTAAGATCTAAACACAGCGTGGGTAGACAGACCGGAGATCGGTACAGTTGCTTTAGTGACCAGGTATTGGAAGCGAGTCGGGAAAGGCGAGGCTGGTGATCATCTGACCAAGGGGTTGGAGCGGCACGCTTGGACCCAGGAGGAGCGACCAGGAGGAGCGACGTCACCGTTGGCGCCGTAACCAAAGGATCCGACCCTGGGCCAGGTGTGTAACCGTCACAAGCATCAGTATGATGGCCTAAAAACTCCATGTGGTCCGATCCAAATACACATTTGTCAAGGTTCAGACTGAAACCATAGTGAGACAAACGTTGAAAAACTTCGTTTAAATGACGCTTATGAGAGGCAGCGTCCTCACTAGCTATTAAAATATCGTCGATATAGTCAAAAACGAAGGGGAGTCCACGCAGGACTTCGTCCATAAGACGCTGAAAGGTCTGTGCCGCGTTGCATAGGCCGAAAGGCATTTTTAAGAATTCAAACAAACCAAAGGGCGTGATGACAGCCGTCTTTGGGATATCAGCAGCAGCTACCGGTGTCTGATAGTAGGCTTTTGTGAGGTCTACTTTAGAGAAAATTTTCGCTCCTTGTAAGCCGGAAGCAAAATCGTGGAAATGAGGAACCGGATAGCGATCCCGGATGGTAATGGAATTTAACTTTCTGTAATCCACGCAAATTCTATAATCATCCTTTCCTGGTTTAGGTACCAAGTGAAGAGGGGAAGCGTAGGGGCTGTCGGATGGGCGAATAACACCCTCTCGTAACATGTCGTCGAAAGCCATCTTAGCGAATTTTAACTTATGAGGTGCTAAGCGACGAGGACGAGAAAAGGCAGGTTGACCAGTGGTCTTAATAAAATGCTGCGTCTGGTGTTTGGTTGAATCAATAGACCCAGCAGGACGCAGAAGGTCCTGGTACTGATTCAAAATGTCCAAATACTCCTTACTATGGCAAGTTGCCACGGTGATACCAGTAGTGGTATGTTTGGAGTAGGTTCCAACAACACATACTTTAGTCAGGTTATCCGTTAAAGAATGGTTGTTCATTCGAACGGCTAGATCATAGTGTGCCAGAAAATCGGCACCTAATATTGGCATTTGAACATCAGCAATAGTGAAATTCCAGGTAAAATCACGACGCATTCCTATATTTAAGGTAAGGGTCTTAGTACCGAAGGTGTTTATGCTGGAGCCATTCGCTGCTTGCAAGCGGAGCTGATAAGGCTTTAGACTTGCTTTATTACGAACAGGTAACACACTGATGGCAGCGCCTGTGTCGACCAAGAAACGTAAATTATTACGTGTATCTAACACGTAGAAAAGGCGACTAAGCTTCTGTGAAGATGCCTTACCAGCAAGATTAGTCGCTCTCACTTGCTGGCGGTCTCGTTTCCCGCGACCGCAGTATAATTGCACGGCTTAGTGCAGTAACGTGCTGCAGAACCAAATCTACGATGATAGTAGCACATAATGGAAGAAGAGGTATCATCGTCTCGGCTAGACGAACGTGGTCGACTCCTAAAACGACGGCGGGAAGGAAACCGGTTTCGACCACGGTTTTTCAGAGCAAATGTCAGGTCTCTGACTTGCCGCTGTAGTTCTTCCACAGCTTTCTCCAAGGACCTGTGGTCACTGGATGGTTCAGCACTGTGTACTGATGTCGTTTGGTGATCCAGTTGGGAGAAAATACGATCTGCAGCGTCCGCTAACTGGTCGAGTGGGGTGTTCTCCGACATGGGCGCCAAAATTTGGGTAATGGTGGTGGGGAGGCGATCCAACCACAGGCTTTTTAAAATTGGGTCAGCCATAATGTTTTTACCCAACCGACTCTTCATGAAACGTAAAAGTTGCGAAGGGGTTCTACCATCACGAGTTAAGTCGCTAAATAACTCGCGGATAAGCGCTTCTTCAGTACGGCCCATTCTCCTTAGAATATCCTCCTTCAATTGGGTGTAAGGTTCGACCTCCGGAACGGCTTCCAAGAAATCGGACACTTCATCCACAATGGTGGGTGGTAAAGCAGTTACCACGTGGCCAAACTTAGTCTTCTGGTCTGAGATTTTTCTCACGATAAAAATGGCTTCCATTTGAAGGAACTAGTTCTTAATATTCCCTTCGTAAAAGGGGGAATGGGAGCAACGGCGGCGGCCATACTCGACAACTCTCCGGCTTCATCAGACGTCCTTCCTGCTATCAAATTTAATGCACGTTTACAGATTATGATCTGACCCGAAATAAACAGTGTTTTGTTTTTTAGAAAAAATAACTGTTCCTCAAGATCACGTCGGGGTCACCAATCTTGTATCAGACCCGGTAGCATGCAGTGTCGGCCTACGAAAAGGTGGCCTTGTGCCAGACACAACTCACGACTACCGAATTCACTAGCAAAGTAAAAAAAATAAGTGAAAATAGTAAATGTGTGATCTTTTAACCGTAGAATTATTACAGTCTCCTTAGTGAGGAAAAAGAAAGGGTCATTCAACACATGCATAAAAAGGTAAAAAAATAGGTAGCCAGGAGGAAAGACGTAAACGAGTCTGATGGAAAACAAATATAAAACTTTATTTAATGAAAAGTATTTTTGTCTCAAACAGTGGAGGCTATCAGAAAAGTAAAGCTAGTTCTTAGCAAGTAGGCAAGTTGTATAAGGTAGTGACAAGTAGTCAGTAAAAGAATGTTAATGTTCCACGCCAAAACGAAAATCAAAATGGCTAAGGCGGGAAAGGTTCCCTCAGAAGGAAAATTCTGGAACAGAGTCTTCTTATGCAAAAGGTACATGCCTACACACCAAGGAAAATACTCACTGCGAGATTTTTGTCATGTGTGCGTAATGTTATTTTTTTTCTTTCTTTTCAAACTGGTTCGTAAGGTTAGAGTTCCAAAGGTGTATGTGAAGTTTATCAATCATCCGTGTCGAAAAACTCTACGTTCCCTGGTAGTGAACGGAGGAAAGTTCGAACAACTTGTTCGCAGAAAGTTGCAACCACATGAAGAAATTCGGCATGATGAGCCAAGGAGTTTACTAGGAAGTTTTTTGTAGTTAAGATATTTCGGCCCGCGTATGGGTAAGGGGCGTGAAATAAATGAGTCGACCTTTTTGCTCGGAGACCAGGCAGCGACTGATTTGAAAAACACCGTTCGTCAGTGACGTCAGAGAATGCGCGGGAAAACTTCAAATTCTGTTCTAGCTGGAATCAGCAGCAGCCAGCAACTTCCTCACGTCGACAGCAGACGGCTGTTTACTACTATATCTAGCCGAACAGTGAAAGGAAGGGGTGCAATACGCGCGCGCACGTAAAAGTAGGTGGAATCCCTGCGCGGTTCCACAATCTTAGCATGCATTTTTAAAAGGCCGTAAATTGGTGTATATTTGGATTATGGACGTTATCCGAAGATAACCATCTGGAAACAAGTAAACCCCTACTTTGGTGTCTAAACATCAATTTTCAGACCTCCACGCGACTATGGAATGTCAAAAGTGTACCGGCTGAATTTTAATAATCAAAAAAAAAAAAAAAATGATAAAATAAAGATACGGCTGTCTGCATACATACATCGGTGCCTTCCCTGAAGCAATAGTTAACATTTAACAAGCTCATCTCAAAGAAGACATTTAGCTTGCCTTATGAATTTGATTCTCATAGAGCGTCTAACTCCTGTAACTCTTCTACACTAAAATGTTTGGTTTAGTTTATTTTGTTTTACGGCATATCAACCTCAATGGGTTATTTAATGACGACAACATTTTTAGGATAGATTCGTATGAATAGAATATGTATTCTTCGCTTTAGGTTGGTTTGGTTTATTTTGTTTTACGGCATATCAACCTCAATGGGTTATTTAATGCCGGCAACATTTTTAGGATAGATTCGTATGAACAGAATATGTATACTTTGGTTTAAATTGGTTTGTTTTATTTTGTTTTACGGCATATGAACCTCAATGGGTTATTTAATACCGACAAAATTTTTAGGATAGATTCGTATGAATAGAATATGTATTCTTTGGTTTAGATTGGTTTGTTTTACGGCATATCAACCTCAATGGGTTATTTAATGCCGACAAATTTTTTTATTGCTGGTAATATGTTTTTCTTCAAAAATCTATTTCTGGGAATATTTTTCCTTGAAGAAATCTATAGCTGGTAATATTTTTTTCAAAGAATGTATAACTGTTTGTATTGCTGGTATTTTTTTTTAAGTATTGCTGATAATAATTTTTCCTTCGAAAATTATTGCTGGTAATAATTTTTTTTTTTTATTACAAACTATTTCTGGTATTAAAACCTATTTTTACGCAAGTTTGAGTGTTAACTATTTGCCCATAGCTGGGACCCTAACAGGTGCTGCCACCCATGGTCAGGGTGGACCTGGGAACACTAGCAATTAAGAGGTGGTTCCACGCTCCTCAAAATCTCCTGATCAGAGGCCTTACTGTTGGACATAGTTTATCGTCTTACCCAGGACGCGGATGTAGTTTACCGTCATACCCAGGACGTTTACACTGGAGTGAAATTTAGTATTAAATCTCAAGCTAATCTCAGACTGTTTACAAGTGAATTCTATTCTTACTGAGAGCTCCACCATTGTTGCCCTATGCCAGACTAAGCTAAATGTAGTATCTGCAGCGTATGTAGAGAGCTAGTACCATATTGTATATTGTAACAGGGGAAAATAAATTAGTTTCATGTTACTTGCAGGAAAAAAATGTTTTAGTTTAAAATCAAACTTATTTTGATGAATAGGGGACGACCATTTGTTATCGATTCGGCGCTTATATATCTCTTGGTTCTAGTCAGCTATTCTACCATTATTGAGCACAAGCTGAAAAAGTATCTTGTTTATTTTTATTTAAAATGTCAATGTTTCTTCTCTCGTTGACTAGAGAAGAAGTAATGTTTCATTTTTTAGGTCACTTTTACTAAGTAAGCAAGCATGTAAATTTATCCGGCCAGCAAGTTTTGATGGAAAATCAACATTGAGTACAAACAAATGTAGAATGTAGATGGTGTTATTGTCGGCTATATCACGTTTTTTTTAACTCAACACTGGAACGTTTGCAAAAAAAAAATAAAATAAATTTAAAAAAATAATTAATAAAAATAAAAACAATCGATCATTGTTTTTGTTTTTTTTCTGGGGGATAAATCTTTTAAGACAAGAAGCTTTTTTGTAACTGTAGAGAATAATACAATAGTAAACTTAAAAAAATAAAATAAAAAGTTTAAAAAAATCGTTTCCCGAGTTTGAGTTTCGAGTTTATATAAAATATTTTTTTATTATTTATTAACAGTCAGTGCGGCTTTGCGAAATGGACGTTTATTTCCATTACGTACTCCCAAGTTCCATAGCTATTTTTTTTACGTTCTTCAAAGGAATGTATCAGCGTGTGGACAGTTAGAAACAAACGCCCATTTTGAAAAGCACACTGCATGAATTGATCAGGCTTGTCGGGGCATCACATTGTAGTGAAAAGTTTGGTGGTTACCATTTATTTAATGGTGTTGACGGTCCAAATCAATCCATACATTTTTTTACTCTACGAATATGTTAAGCAAAATGCAAAAACAACAAGAGAAAACAAGAAATATTTGTGATAAAAGACAAAAGGCAAATATCTGAATAACAAATAATTTTCAATATATTTTTTGCAATGAAAATATTTTACAAAAATGTAGTGGATTTTTTTATAGGTGAAATCTTGTTAGTTTAATATTATGTTGAACTCAAGTTTGGTGAAAGATTAATTTTTGTTAATGAGTTCTGATTTGAAAGGAAGTTTGCTGGAATTTGTTATTGAAGATTCTGTAAATTAATTGAAGGGTAAAATTTACATTTAAGAATTTACTGTTCATGTAAGTAGTAAAGGTTTGTAAAGTTGAATGCAATTTTGTCATCAAAGAAGTTATCTACCTTTGATTCTTTTGTGTAATACAATGTTCTCGAATGTTGAGAAATAAAGTTGATTTGTTAGCAGGAATTTTGTTTAACTTCTGCGTAAGGATTTTGGTGAGTGAATGGGAATAGAGTTCACTGGTGAGTTTTTGGTGAATGAGTGTGAATATCGTTAAGTTTGTATAACGTTCGTATGAACGAAAAACTTAAGATTGTGTGACGTGAAGTTTAGTTTCAATTCGTTTGATGGCACGACGCTCACTGGCGAGTGTGAATGAGTTTCTGTTTTTATTTGCTTCGGGTGGCTCATAGAGACTTGGCGCGAACTTGGATTTCAGTCACGAACTGTAAAAATTAGTTAAGCGTGGGTGGATAGTCAAGCCTACTTGTATATTTATTAACCAATGAGGGCTCGAGATTTTTTGAAAGTGTATGAAGTTGAAAGTGTTCTGTGATCCACTTTTTGCACAGATTTGACCAAAGGTATTGGAATAATGTAGGATTTGTATTCTACAATATGCACTGCGGCCGCAGTAGAAGTGGTGTTCCTTGGGCAAGATAGTCTGATGGAACCCAACCCTCTCCAGGCCGGTTTTGATTTCAGAGTTTCCTTCTCCTAGACCGGTCGCCACCCAAGGCTACAGAACCCAGTCTGTCCTGTTATTTACCCATAGCTGTGGGAGAAGAGGATTCACACCTTTCTCAAGGGTATTAGCACGTAAGTGAATGGATCCGATTGAAATTCGGCTCTCCGACTCTGCAACCCGAGTCGCTATCTATTAATGAAACAGACTGTCAATAGGTAAATAATAAAAAAATGTTATTTTTATGTGTATTAAATAAAAAAGCTCTATCAAAAGCATTTAACACAGAACACTCATATACATAAGAAAATAAATGACGGAAAATAAAATAGGTATTTCAATTTAATCAAAATTAAACGTACTATATATAGCCTGATTGTAAATCAATTTGTGCGCATGTTTAAAAATAAGGCGTGTATCTATTAATATACTGTACATCCTCTTTGGGCATTAATACAGGTCTGTACAATCGCGCGTATGCTATCGTATGAATGGGGAAAGCCATCGTATGATATATTATCCCTCGCCTATCGCAACTGTTGACGTAATAAAGAATGTCTTGTAAGTGGATAAACTGAACGAGCCAGGCCTCATATCATAACATGTTCA